CTCACATAAATCCACCAGATACATCTGTCGAATGACTAACTGACCAACTGACTGAGCGATTGACCCACCCTCCTCCTTCCCTAAACTCAATCAATAGTGTTTTCAAAAGCACAGATTGACCCGCTTATCCACTTCCCTAAACCCAACCGACAATGTTTTCAAAAGCAATCCAGAAAAACAAAAGCCCCCGCCTAATTTTTTCCAAATTCCCACCCTGTTATTTCCATGTTTATTTAATTTTTTGGCATATGTCTTACTTTCTGGACAAACTGGTAACAACAGGAAAGCCATCCTCATGTAGGTAAGCGGTCAGCTGGTACCACCTGGTAGCATTTGTTTTAAAGACGAAATGCAACCATACTTACTGTACTTATGACTAAATAATTCGCAATCTCCAGAAATGTATATAGGGCTATATTTTCAGAATGAGCCTATGCTGAACTGTAGCGGACACCACATGATTTATAACATTGAGTAATAAACAAAAGGTTCAGAAAACTCCATTCTGATCGCTAACTAATTGTTAGTTGCATAATCATTGTAAACAGTTAAATTTTACAAATTGGCCTAAAAATTATGTGGCGGCCACAACAAATATACGCAGACTCGCATTTTCTCTAATAAATGGCCACTTTTGGCAAGGCTCTTGAAAAAGCACTCCACTTCTCTGCTACTTTTATGTTTAGTGGCAGCGTTGAGTTTTTCCTCACTCTCTGTCCCTCTCCATCACAGTTTTATAGACAGGATGAGATGTGTAAAGTGAAAGATGACAGTAAACCTGGGAGTTCTCTCTCCTCAGTATACTGTCCTAACCTCACCCTTTCAAAGTGGATTGGTGATAGCAACCAAAATGCATAAAAAAGCACACTTAGAGTAAGAAAATACTGGCATCCCTGATGGAAAAAAGCGTAGAGTAGAAAGTGGTTGTCTGTTTTGCTGGTTTTAAAGTATGTCTGAGCAATTCAACTGCTAAGGTTGAAAAAGCAGCTGGCCAGGTGTGTAGACTAGCTGAACCAGTTTAAATCAGCTAAGCACTTTTTTTCTTCTTTTAATGGAAACATCCTAATGTTCCTCCCTTTCCAAATTCCAGGTGGCTCATGTTGCTATGAACATATTTGTGTTTTGTGACACTACCTTGTGAGCTAGAAATAAAGAGTAGTTAATTAATTCATTTATTCATTTTCTTTTCAGCTTAGTCTCTTTATTAATCAGGGGTCACCACAGCGGAATGAACCGGCAACTTATCAGCAGACTTACCAGCACATGTTTTATGCAGCGGATGCCCTTCCAGCTGCAACCCATCTCTGGGAAACATCCATACACACTCATACACCACGGACAATTTAGTCTACCCAATTCACCTGTACTGCATGTCTTTGAACTGTGGGTGAAACTCAAGCACCCGAAGGAAACCCACATGAATGTGGGGAGAACATGCAAACTCCACACAGAAACGCCAACTGACCCAGTCGAGGCTCGAACCAGCAACGTTCTTGCTGTGAGGTGACAGCACTACCTAATGCACCAACGTGACGCCCTAAGTAAATTTCCATCTGTTAGTTTTAAGGATATCTATTAGCTTGTGTGCTCCAAAAGAGTGACAAAATGTGTGTTTAGAATATATAAGAGATATAAACATATAAAGCTTGTAGTTTGTTACCTGTTGCCTAAACTGTGATCTGTTTCACATCACCTCATACTAAACTTTCTCATCAAATCTTGACCAATCAAATACTCTCTAGCATCTGACATGTCCCGCCCCCTTTAGGAAACTTTTTATTTGTTGTGCTTGAGCTCAACCGCTCTCACTGGCAGAGCAGTGATAAAATTAAACGCTATTGGCTGTTTTTTTAAACATTTGAGATTACGTCAAATATCGAATGAAAAATGTGCATTTCAGAGCACCTCATTAAGCACTAAAATTCAAATTATTATCAAACGGTAGCTTTAACAACATAGATGAATCTCACACAAGTGGTGCCTCTGTGAAAGAAGATGAAACATAATATTAAAATATAGCAGTAGTTCTCAAATTTTTTTCATCAAGTACCACCTCAGAAAAAAATTGTCTCTCCAAGTACCACCAAAATGAGCAGTATTGAAACAAAGTAGCGTAGTAGGCTCAGTAAAGCAGCTACAACTCAGCACAGTTAAAAAAAAACGTGGCAGATTACCTCGGAAATATAGGCTATATGTCATATATGACATATTATATACATCATTTTTGCTAAATTTTGAAATATGTAGCATGTACATGACATATTTTATTCCTCAGCGTACCACTAGAAGGAAGCCTGCGTACCACTAGTGGTACACGTACCACAGTTCGAGAACCACTATAATATAGTGTTTCTTTTAATGTTTTTATGGAGAGAAGGTCATACACAAATTGATTTAAACCCTTAACGGTTTTGATTGAATGATGTCTTCCGTTTACCTGAATGACAAAAATAAAATATTTTACTCAACCTGTAACGACAGTAATCAAGGAGTCCATCTTGTTTTGCTGGAATACAAGTAAAAAGTATAAAACCTACTGTAGCCTACATATAAAATCTTTTGTACTCAAAAAATGACGTTCAGACTAGAGATGCGCGGATGGGCTATTATTTCATCCGCAACCGCATGACAAAATTCATCATCCGTCCGCCATCCATCCGCAGTAACATTTTGATCAATTTTTAAAACCGCACCCGCCCGCCATCTGCTGATTGGGCTCTTTATTTGAATGGCTTATTCCTTTTTTTATTAAATGAATGTTTCTTTATTGATCATTATAGAATAGAGAATGACTTTAATGTAGACATGCAGTTAATCCAAACGTGCAAGTCATTAATTGACGACGCTTTGAAGTGACGCTAAAGATACGAGGACGTGTCTTTTCACTTGATTCGATTCCTCGGTCCTTAAGTCTTTTCCTTGCGTCTTTCCCTCGTAACGTTATCCCGGTGGGGTGGAAACACGAGGAAAGAAAGCAAGGAAAGGAAACGAGGATGCACAAATAAGAAATGAAAAGCACCCGAGCTCTCAGAATATCAGCAGTGAACTCCGTCTCCAATCGGCGCACAGGGACAAAAATAAATAAATAGCCTAAATTAAACGCACTGTACTATACAACTTTTTTTTATTGTAGCCTAATAGAAAACGCATTGACACATCATTTCAACATGCTGCTATTTAGCCTACTACTAAATGCCTATTTCACTTAATTTTTTAGTAAATAGATAGAATAAGTCATTTACATTATAGCCTAATAATGTTTACATTTGTAGTTGTCCATAGCAACCCCAAAAACGTACCTGCTTGCCTTGCACATCTAATTAATGGGCACAGTTTTTCGACTATTCTTTATTTTTTGCTGTGGATGTTATTGAGCTTGTAGAAATCGGAAACAACACAGTTCTGCGACACAGATGATCCTTTATTGATATCTCTATCAGACAATACCTATTTTATATGCCAAAAGAAACAACAGGCAGTAAAAAAATATTAACATAAATATCTTAATGTAGGCATAGGCTATAGTCGCATGCTTTGGCAAACAGTTGAAAATTTTTTAATAAAAACATCATATCGTGCCTAAGCCTTGTAGGCTCAGTCACCCCCACAATTAGAAATTAAATTAGAAAAATAGATATGCCATCCCTCTTTGAGCGAACCTGACCAAGCTAAAGTGCATGTATGACAAGTGCCCCAATAACCCATGGACTTAGGATTATCCCCATTCCCCTCAAACTTGAAGCATAACAAAATACTACGCCATTAAATTTGCGACAAAGAAATTCTGGCAAAATAACCTTAGCCTCGGAACGTAAAAGCGAGGCCAACATGTCTAGAATAGAATAGGCTAAACCAATATGAACGTAAAGTTATCAGCTGACCGAACTCAAAAGTTTATATTGAACATATTTGTAGCCTAAATAACATAGGCTAATTGGTTTAATATGCCTGACCTTAGGTCTAGTTTGATTTTTTTCTTGGCACAATGCAGGAATAAAATAGCATCTACAGTGTCAGGATTCAGACGGGAGCGCCTGCATAGCCACTATAATGCGCCCTGCTGCACTGAAGGAGCGCTCGCTCGCAGCACTTGTTGCTGAAATGCATAGAATTCTCTTGGAAAGGTTCTGTAATCGTGGGAATGCCTGTCCTTATTTCTCCCAAAAGGAAAGTAGATTTTCCTCTGCTGATCCGTCTATACGGAAGTTTGTAGAGTAATACTTCTGTACACTTCATCCAGAATTAATGTATCCGATTCCTCCTCCCATTCTGTGAAGTCAGTCGTAGGCTTTTTCGTTGGTGCGCCAGCTATGAATATAAAACAGTACAACCGCCCGCCACCCGCCCGAATTTAATTAAAATATTATTTTTTCGTAACGTCATCCGCCCGATCCGCGGTTTATCCGCGGAGTCCGCGGCTATAACCGCCAACCGCGCATCTCTAGTTCAGACTACTTAGAATATGTTGAAACAATGCAATTCTAGAGTTTTTATTGTGACAACTCAATTTATGTTTAATCCAGTTATATTTGTAAATACTAATAAGTTTACTCGATTCCTTCATGTTGTCTCAACACAAATCGATTGTGTGGAACCCAACATTTTTTCACAGTGTATGCTCAATAAGATAGATAGCATTTCAGTAACAAATAATATAACTAAATATAATTGATGGTTTAGTTTTATATAGCACAGGATTTAAAGATCAGATTTATATCCATTCAGTGCAGACACATTAACTGTATGTGGCCAAATGTAAACACCACATATAAATGCTCCTATGAGCTGTATTTCAGAAAAGTCCCAAACTACATGGTCATATTAATTAATTAATCCCCAACTGGGGTGTCAGCAGTGCAGAACCGACCGCTGAAACTTAGCCGAACTGTCTGAAGTTGGCTTATTTAAATGGTCAACAGATGGCTTTGTGTGCAAGTGCCTAATGAATCCTCAATAATACAGTGCGATAATTGCATGTTTGTGTTTGTGTGTTGTGTTACCTTGCACCGCCAGGAGCTTGTGTGTTTGTATGATGATGCAGAGCTGGAGCACGAGCTGCGGTGCGCTCTCCAGGAATGTGGCCAGCAGATGGAGCATGCTGACGTCTGCATACTCATACACCATCCTCCAGTAAAATCTCCAGCGGTCATTCTCTCCACTCTGCCTGCTCCTGATGCCCAGGTAGATAGTGTGGAAGTACCTGTGCGAGACAAAAAAAAAAGCCCTTTAAAACGTCTCTCGCTATGAACCCTCTTTGACCTCTCGATTACAGAGCAGAATCTGCAGACGCTCAGCTCAAAGATCTCAATGATTTGTCTGCTTTTCTTTTCAATGTAAACCTACATTTCTTTCCAGCTATGTTGGTCTCTGTGCTGTTTTGTCAACAAGATCCACTGTGGATGAACCCATTTGAACTGCTGATGAATCCATTATTTAATGTCAAAGCCGATGACTCAACACAACAGCTCTAAATGATTTAGCCAGAAATGGAACTTTGTGTCAGTGTTGTATAAATCAAGACAACATTCTTTCAAGTGTGTTTAAATGCTTTCGATGAAAAGGGCACACAGCTGGGGCTTTGTAAAATGAGATATTAATTATAAAAATGAATTTAAAACTGTTAACTATTAACGCTCACTTGACTTGTTCATTAATAGCTGTAAATACGAACTGTTTATTGTAGAACTATTTGATAAGGCTTTGCAATTTTTGGTATATCTGTAAATGTTTTATTAAAATAATAATAAAATCATTTGATAAAAATGAAAAAAATCATCAAAATAGCAAAAATAAATAAAGATTTAAATCCATACATACATTTGTGAGTACAATCGCAGCACAAAAAAAATTGCTAAATCAATAATATATAAGTAACAGAGTGGTTTACTAAAATGATCCCAAGTGAAACTGTCCATGTCAACCTTTTTTAAAGGTGCCATATACTGCTGTAATGTGAAGGACGCTGGACAACTGGGTGCAGATCCAAATGCAGGTTTTTTACACAGAGATGGTCAAGCAAGCAACGGTCAACACAGGGGCAAACAGATGTAAACAGGCAATCCAGATTCATGGTCAAATGACAGGGGAACGGTCACTCCCGGTGCCAAACAATGCAAACAATAAACAAACAAAGCAAAGATCAGTACACGGCAAGTCAAGTAAAAAGTCAAGGCAAAACAGGTCTTAATGTACAGTTAAACAAGACTCAGCCCTGAAGTGTGTGTGTGTGGTTTATAAAGTAATCAGATCATGAGCGGCTCCCAGCCATGAATGTGTGTAATGGACAGAATCTGGAACAGGTGCATGCGAGCGATGCATGACTGGAGTCTGTAGTCCATATAATGGCGGGTTTCCAGTCCTTTAGCGATCTGCATGTTTATCAGTGATCTTCCAGGATTAGATGGCTGGTAATTGTGTCAACTGCATTAATTCAATAAGTTAAGTTGTTCTCTGATATCTACAAAGTAGGTATGTGGCTTAGGTAAATTAAAAAAATCTCCAAAAACTATGAAACAGAAATTATGCTCATTTATTACTCAATAAAATGCCCCCTAGAATCCGTGCCCTAGTAAAGCATTATGTCTAAAGCTTTATTTCTAATATTGACGTTCAATGAAGTGTATTGTTATTTTTTCACTTTACCGTAAATTATTTTTTAAAAATTACCGTAAAAGCTGAAACCTGCTACACCATAATAAAATGTGCATTTTTCAAATAAGTGCACATTTATACTCAGCAGTCGATTTGTTTGTTGATCATTACAAACATATGCAACAAATTCTACAATAAGCATGATAAAGATAGAATAAAAAGACTTCATGATTGAGCTGAGTGGAGGGGCGGGGATGAATAAATGTATAATCCGTATATCTTGCATTTTGCATCCTGACACGAATGTCAAGAAATGGCTTGCTACGTTGTTGCATAACAATGTATTGAAAACAATAGCTGCTTCCAAAATCTCCTACTACTCATGGCCAAGTAGTACATTTAAATTCAAATGCAGTGTCTACAGTACTAAGTTCTACTTGAAAATTACGTTCTATACAGTATGCCTGTCTGTAGTATAAATGGAACTTGGTCGTACTACATCCGTCATTTTGTCATCATCACCCAACCGCATCAGGGAGTCGTTTCACTGCCATTCATGAATTCTCTCGCAGTGCATTATGGCATAGCATAGCATCCATCCAATGGGCGCTTCAGAATCTAGGAAGTAGTAGGTCATTTAGATACTTCTCACATATGGTTTTTCTAATTCTATGAATTCGGACATACTACTTGGCTCGCATACTGTTTTTAGCATACCATATAGTATGGAAGTATGTAATTTTGTGACACAGCTAATCTGTTGCGGTTGTATTTTTGCAGCATCTAACTAAATTTTCAAAATAAATGTCCCAAGCCTGCGTACAACATATGTGGCTGCTAAACTTTTTTTGACGCAGCTTGTCAGGTCTCGATAATGTGCAATGTGTGACCTAAAGAAGCTATATGCAAATGCCCTAAGAGCAACGCAACAGTCTGCATGGTGTTTAGATTGGCCTGAATTTCACCATGGATGTACAATCGCATAATTTACATGTATACCCATTTCTATATACTGATCTCTTATTATTCAACTATGCCTAGGTACAGTATAGCCTACCCTGATTTTCTTTATAGGGCATCTTTAAAACACACTTCTCTTTATGTGAAATAGCATCTAAAGGTTCTCACAACAAACACCAGGGATGTGTTTCTACAGTGCTTTTAAAGCAGTCATGGGACAACACAGTGTCCAGTATAAATGGAAATAGCCTGTAACTATTACATTAAAAGAAAGTAAAGAAGCTAAATTATTCAGGAAGTTTTTGTGAGTGAATGTTGGTCAAGCATCTGTGGTTGAAATCACTCGCCTCTTCATGGGCCTTTCTGCCTCTTTAGGCAAACACAGCTCTTCATTTGCTTGCTCATATTAGCGTTAAAATGCTCCTGTGCCAAAACTAATTATCGCATCCAAATTCACCTTTTTAATCATTCTCCTAAAATGTAAATGTAAATTAATATTTTAATATGCACTTTTGCAGCAACGCAAGGAATACCAATGAGGTTAAACACTTCTTCTGCTTGTGTTAAATACATATTTAGCATTTACTAAAAGAATCTTTAATTATGTTTTCCAGAAAATGCTACAAATTACTATAAGCTGCACTGTGTCAAAATTGCATTGCATTGCACTGGGATATAATGTAAATCACCTTTTATAATTTTATTCAGGAAGTATATGTAAGATAGCTTACCAGTACAAATATTGCAATGGTACTCAGAATGAACAAAACAGTCTGAAAACTAACAAGCTTAAATCAAGACTAAACTAACTAGGTCCCTTTGATTACAATGATCAGAATAAATAAGTACACCCCATTTTGAAAATTAAGATTTTTATTCATTTCTCAGTAAATATAGATCATATACTTTTAGTGCATTTGAACAAAACATTTATTAAACATATATATTTATTAAAACATTTTTTATTCACTAAATATATTTAGAAATAGAAATATAACATTTAAATGAATGCTAAATTCATTGCTAAAACAATTTACAAACCACACGTTTTCAACCAATTTTTTTCTCTTGATTTTTGCTTTTTAAAAAAATCTAATTTCATATGTTTCCCTAACATATAAAATTGAGCTACTAATTTTTGGACCATTATCATAAGTTATTTTGTTAGATTAGCTCCAGGCTTAAGAACTGATTAATCTAACGTATATGCATAAATAAAATGTTTTAATGCTTCCTACAGACCTTTTTCATGGCTGCTGCATGGAGGGTGCCATAGTGACCAGCGTCTTCCAGTAGAATGCTAAAAACTTCCGTTCACAGCGTGTACAACTGGTAATTTGCGCTCCGAAAATGGGTTTCAATAACGTTTTTAATATGTTACAGAGTGTTTTTGTGACACACAACTTAGAAATGTGTCTGTTAAAGCCGTTATAATCTGTCACATGTGGTTCAAGCGCTTCAGAAATACGAGAAAAACGTTCTCCTAGTTCACGGGTCTGCCGTCAGAAATACAGTGTTAGCTCAGTGGCTCTTTAACACACACACACAGAGAGAGAGAGAGAGAGAGAGAGAGAGCAAGAGAGAAAGAGAGCAAACCAGAGTACTGGCATGAAACTTAACAGGTATGAAAGTCATGCAATTTACAAAAATGACCAATAAAAGTCTTTTATTGATCCTCTGCTGGCTGATTTGCGTTCCAAGAAAAAGGTCTACAGAAAATATGAATTTAAATGAAAGATTTGTTAGGGGTGTTCTCATATGCTGAGCACTGCATATGCATGGAATTAAGAAGTCCAGCCATATAAAGAGAATTAAATCCTAACATTTATATAGTGCTTTCCTGGACACTCAAAGCGCTTTACACATTTTTGGGGGGAATCTCCTCATCCACTACCAGTGTACAGCATCCACCTGGATGATGCGACGGCAGCCATTTTGTGCCAGACCGCACACCACACACCAGCTGATTGGTGGAGAGGAGACAGATTGATGAAGCCAATTATGATATGGGTATGGTGAGGAGGCCATGTGGGCCAGTGGGCAAATTTGGCCAGAATTCCAGGGTTAAACCCCTACTCTTTTTCGAAAGACATCTTGGGATTTTTAAAAACCTCAGATTAACATCTCATCCAAAAGATGACGCTCACTGAACAGTATTGAGTCCCAATTAATATACTGGGGTGTAAGGACACGCACAGACCACAGGTTGAGCGCTCCTGCTGGCCTCACTAACACCACTTCCAGCAGCAACCTATAGTGTTCCATCTGGTCTCCCATTCAGGTACATCCCTGTTTAGCTTCAGTGGGCTGCAATGTGAGAGTTGCAGAGAGCTAGCTGCCAACTGAATTAGCAGTATAAAGCAATACTGAATCACACTGTCTTTATGACAAGCTGTCCACTAAAAGTTTAAACTTGAGAATATGTATACTATTGTCCAGTACAATCTACATTTCAAATGTCATTTAAGAAAAAAGAATCAAATTTAAGAGAAGAAAATTATGTCTAAAAACTACATTTTATTAAACTTCTAGAAATTGTTTTACATAATACATTTCATGATTTTAATTAATTTGACATTGACTTTTTGAGTACTCAATTAATTATAACCATCAAAAGGAAGCCCAGCAAAAAATAAAACAGTATAAAAA